GACCAATGTAAACAAATAACCAACCTTGTGAGGATTTGTTGCTGTGCTTGCATCGTGGTACCCTTGACAGGCCTCTGTTGTTCTTTCTTCTTACAAGGTTTGCCGCCTTTTTCTCTATAACAAAAAAAAAAAATGTAAATTGTGTTTAAAAGTGTTTTTGGGAAAGTAATGGTTCCTTTTTAAACAATATTTTTTTTGAATCTGATTGAATTTTTTAGTACTTATATAAAACTAAAAATTAAAAAAATTGAAAATTTGAATGTTGTACAGAAGAAACAAATTTGAGGCCATGTTAGATATTTTCTCTGAACAGTTTTAAGCCCCTTTGTTAAATATTATTTAGGTTCGTTTTTAAGAGAAAGGTAATTCGTAATTTCAATACACAATCCCTTCCCCTGTTGTGGCTAAAGGGTCCTCGCTGAGGCTTTTGATTGTACTTTTATTCCCCGAGGTTATTCCTGGCTTTAAAAATTTTTAATATTTTTTGGTCTCCTCCGTAGAATTCCGTCCTAAATAACTGAGATGTTTGGGGTGTTCTAAATTGAGGTTTTTTGGTTAACTGTTGCTGTTGATATCCTGCTGTGAGTTAAAACTAATTTTTTTTGGTGGATGGGGTACTGTTTGGTTGGGTCGCATCGCGGGTGAGGGCGTGTGGAACTGCTGCGGCTAACATTCAATTATCATTTACGAATGTTTTAGTGAGAAGGGCAGCTGAAATGCTCTCCTCAGATCTCCATATGCTTGCGTTGTTGGGTTGAACTACGACTTTTTTGATTTTTGTATGTGTTGGGGATGTGGTGAAGATCTTTGCGGAAGGGTAGGAGAGTTTTTTGAGGTAGAGGTCCTTTGTTTGGTTTGGCCTAACTACTGTGTGCTGGGGTAATTGTACTTTTAATTTTGCGTTACTTTGTTCCCTGAGGTGTATGAGCGTGTAGCCTGATTCTGTTGGTTGAGAAAACTGAAAAAAAAAAAAATAATTAAACACCGATACCTCCCCTGTTTTTGGGGTATAGTATCAAAAACTAGCTTTTGAATTTAAAATTTATGGGGAAGTTTTTCTTAAACTTGGGAGCGACGCTTTGGTATGCAGGCGCTAGGAAGGGCCCAGATGTGTTAATAACAATAACAAGTAGGCTCCGGGTCTCACTATTTTTAGCTTAGTACCGCACACCCGTGGGGTTTAAGTCGGTTCGATTCCGACATACCGCCCCACCGAAAACTCCGGTGGGGTAACAGCCCCAAAGGCCACACGCTTAAAGAATGTGTAAGTGTTTTGTCGTTGACGAGTTCATCTGCGTAAGATAAAAAATTAACTTACTGGATGATTGGAGAGCTTGATTTGATTTAGTTGCTGTTGATGAAGTTGTGGACTGATGACATGTTGAGTGAGTTGATGTTGCTGATGTTGTTGTTGCATTTGTTGATGCTGTTGCTGTTGCTGTAAAAATTATTAAAAGATAATTAAATTTGTGATCAGGGACATTGAAACTTCTCAACGATAGTGTTTTATTTTTTTTAACGTACTGAAATTTTATTTGTTTGGTCTGGGTGTTTGTTTTTTTGTTATGTAATATATGTCATTTAAAATTTTTCAATATATTTTATCTTATATGTTTTTAACCTGGAGCGTGTGGTGCAAGGGTGTGCGCCGGTCGCGGCGGGCGGTGTTGAGCGTGCTGCGATTGCGGGTTGAGCACGCGGGGGGAAACCCACGCGAGCCGGACCGCCCGGAGCCGGTGATGAGGCCTGACCGTTTAGTAGTATGTTGCCCAAATTAAAAAATAATGAAGTGAATAAAGTAAAAAAATATAATTATTTTTTTTTAACATCGGAATGAATACGTTCGAGTGCCACTAGATTAATATAATGGTATTCCTAAAGTAGAAAGAACGATATAGTCCCCCGGTTGCATGGCATTGAGCATCCCGGAGGCGGAGCGGAGGGCGCGGGGGCTGGTGGTGCGCGCGCGCCGCCGGTCGCCGCGGCCGCACCGTGGCACGGGCGTCCGCACCAGCGTCACCGGGCTATTGCTCAGCGCCTGGTTCAGGACGCGTGGCGCCGTCGCTCGCGTCGGTGTACCCTAATCAAATGTCATTAAACGTTGAAATTAATAATCTTGTAAACAAGTCATACTTCGACCATATTTGATTTTGCAGCTCATCATTACACTTTCTCTCTTAGTAACTGGTTACTTGTGATTTAAGGTATTAAAATTGACCTTAACGATCTCTAATTTATCATATCTTGTGTCCACTTAATAATAAAAAGAGATTAGACTATTTTATTCATTCGAATTGGACTCACCTGCTGATTTATGTAAGCTGCATGCATAACAACTTGCTGATGCTTTATTTGTGAGGGTTTCATGTGTTGTTGGTGTTGTTGTTGGAGTTGGTGCTGCCGTTGCTGTTGTTGTAGTTGTTGTAAGTGAATTGTTGCTGTTGCTGAAAGTGCTGGATGATTTGAGGGGACGCACGTGGCAATTGCTGTTGTGGTTGCTGTTGTTGCTGTAATTACAAATTTGAACTACAATAAAATGTTCATTAAAGATATGTTGGCTAATTTTGACATCTTTTAAATAATTTTTTATGTATCTTTAATAAACATGCATGATGGCATGCGCGTGTTTTGACCCCAAACAGTAGTCTAATTATTTATATAGTGTATCACTGACACACTAATTGATTTTGATCTAGGCGCCTCCTGCAGCATGTGTATTTAGTTACAAGTAATGGTGGCTAGTGTGAAATAATGATGTCGATCCCAGATGATCAAATTAAACGATTGTCTTGTAAACGTGATAGCACAGTCGGTCTGAGTAGTAAATCAGAAGATTCTGAGGATCTTGAGGTGCGGATGCGAAAGCTTGAGCGGAGTTTTTGTATATATGTTGCTCGTCACCACCAGGGTAATTTTTAAAATAATTTTCGTACTCACAATCGGGACTACTAGTTTTTGTTAGTCTACCACTACCGCAATGATAGTTGAAAACTGGCTTCTGCTCTATTCGCTTTTCATGTTTTGCATAGAAAAGCTTTTTTAGGTACAGGCCGTAAGCTTTGTACTGTAAATTTAATATTTTTCTTAATTTTTTTCTTTTACTAATTAGATAAAAAAGGCGTACCCCAACGTTATTGTTTTCTAGAATCCATTTTTTTAAGGTTTTAATTTTTTTGGCCCTATACCCACTAAAAACATACTTTTTTTAAAGTGTTTTGTATAAAGTTTTTTACAGTATTATCTTATTTTTAGTATCAAAAACTGACTAACCGTTTGCTGCGGGGCATGCTGCGGTTTGTGGTTGCTGAGGTGGGGGTTGCGGTGGTGGCTGTTGAGCGGGATGTATCACATTTGGGTTTGGTGTTAGCACGTGTGCGGGATTCACTAGCTACATGTGTCATGAAAGAAAACACACGGATAAACAAAATTTTACTATGACAACAAAATTTTTTTTTAAAAATTTTTGACTTTGCCAAGTATTGATCTATTATGATTTAGTATCATAGAGCATTCATTAGCTTTAAATTTTATATACATAGGTTACCTACATCCGAATTCATGTTATACAAAAAGCGCAATTAATTATGAAGCAAAAATTACTATTCGTGTGTGTCACCTAACGCAAAATCTATACCCTTACATCAATTGAGTGTAAGGCGCGTAATACTTTTAAAGAGCATTACCAAAATACCGTGCACTTCTTTTTTATGATAAGGGCGAATCCGAGAAATTAATAGAAACTGACCACCATCGCACATGGTCACCTGTATCTAAAGACTCAAAAGTGAGCCCGGGTTTTGAGGTGGGTGTTGTTAATTTTCATCATGTTTGAAAGTGTATCAATCCGGCAATACCGCAGACAAATTTGTTCTGCAAATTAGTTGTACGTGCAAAATTTTTTTCGACATTTGATATATAAATTATTCCATCCCCATCAAATTCTATCTGTGGTGTCAAGATAGAAGTGATGGGGATGGAGCATGCCTCGTTGAAAGTTTATTTTTTTCAAACATAGACTATAAAGAAGTCGGTCGGAAAATCCCGCTAAGGCAAAAAATGAGGCACCGTAATAGTGGCATCTCTGGACGTGAGAATGAACTTAGGGTTGCCAAGTTTCCCAAATTTTTGCGATAAAAACGGCGTGAGGGGTCTATGGACCCCCCGACGGAACGAAGTTCCAGAAGAAGTGTCGGCAAAAAAGTCTTGTACACATTTTTTGGTCTCGCTCCCATCCGCTCATAACCATTTCGCAGATGCAACAACTAAAAAAGTATAAATGCCATGTCAGGTTAGATAGTTAATTAACCTTTTGAGGTACTGCATAAGTAAAAAACGTCGGTGTCCTCCTTTAATTGTAAAAAAGCCATAGTTTCAAAATGTATACTCAAATGTTACTGTATTTGATTGGAATGCAACGTTTTCACTATTACAATTTCTAATAACTTTAATGAAATAAATTTCTTCATATTTCATAATCGTTAGAAAATCTAGTAAAAAGAATATGAAATAAAATACCTAGTAGTCACTATTAAATGGATAACCTTTAAAAAATTGATTTTAGTTATAAACTAAGAATTGCCTAAATTTCGGGTAATTTGCACAAGTGAATATTGGCAACACTTTGCTAATAATGATGCGTTTGTAGATTGCTTTTAATGTTGTAAAATCTGGAAAAAGAAATTGAATTATTAATTTACCTATGAAAGTGTTTTCTGGATTATTTTTCTTTCGGGACACTACGGTTTTTACACTATTTACCAAGCAAAACATGTTGTATATTTATTTTTTTCGCTGCATAACGCGTCTCGCTGACTATGTTTGCCATTACGCCAATGGCCGACTAATGTGTGTAAAAGTGTGTGCCGGCCTATAAGTACAGCTAGTGGCCGACTCTGAGTGCACAGTATTTTGCTAGCGAGGGTTATGTCCGATTTTTTTTTTTTACGGCCATGTTTATAAATGTTTACGACACAGCCTTCCATATTGCAAATCAAATTTATGGAGTGCAATTTTGCGTCATTGAATTCCCATCGACGTTTTAAGTTGCATAATTTATAAAATACCCAATGTTAGTTATTAATATTTAAATTTTCCCAAAATATACACTAAAACGATTTTATTTAATATAATAGTATTTTATGCACCATTAGAAAACAAGCAAAGCATTTCCGATGGGGGGAAAGTAATATTTTTATATCTATCATTATTTTTATCACATCCACCAGTCTTAAATTAAAAAAAAACATTATAAAAAACATTGGGAATGAAATTCTAGATTTGAAGAAAATTTAAGATAACCCCCCACATGCGAAAGAAAAAATAATGGTTGCCTTTTTAAGCATATTTGAGCGCCCAACGTGGGGCATTGGGGTACATTAGGAGCGTAAAGACAGAAAAAAAGGTTGTGTTGATAATATAATTAGATTAAACAAGGTTGTGTTTAGTAAATACATGGCAAAGACTCTCTAGAATCCATAAATTGGCAATAAAGTGTGACCCATAATGTTAGTTTTACGGAGATTTGATTAAGCTCAAAGTATTGACAAACACCCTTGAAAACAAACTTTTCCTATTGAGTCCCGAATAAATGATGATTTGAAAAAAATGTACAAAAACCACACAGAACAGTACTAATTACCAGGAACTAATTGAAAGACGCGTAATTACGTTACACTGAGAGGAGTGGAAAGCAAATCTCTGGTCTCAAGGTTTATTACTATGAAAAACCCACTGTGAATGCTTACCCCCAGTTACTTAAAAAATATATTTTTAATAACCGGCTTTAAGTCTCAAAGGACGAGGTTCTCATTTCGGTTGAATTTTAAATATTAAGGACTAGGTTTAAAGTATAGGCCCAAGGATACGATTTATAGATAAATAGGTTTTTGCATGTCTTATCATCATTATCACAGCAACGTATAATATAAGAAAAAAATACAATTATTTTATACACACGTCAGGAGAAACTCTAGCTGTTGCCAAAATTATGTGGCATGGTTGGTAGTTTAAAAGATATAAATTGTATACTGTTAAGTTTTGCTAATGCTAAGATTTAGCACAGCGCAAGTGACACCGCTGGTATTCTCAGTATATGCAGGCATCGGTAACCACTTACTGCCAGCGGGTCGTGTGCTTTTTGCCTTTGAAGGGTTGTATAAAATTAAATGTGGATTCTCAATTTCATTATCTATTGAACATTTAAGCTATTTTAGTTTAATAAAATAAAGATTTTATTTGAAAATGATTAAAAGTAATTTATTTGGTTTTAATTTGAATAGGCAGTGTTAATTTTACAATGTGTTGCACTTTGTAGATGATGAATGATGTGTGGCTAAATGGTCGTAAGCCTTTTATATAATGGACTTACAAATTTAATGAAACATTTAAAGAGCATAGCAGGTAACATGAGATTAATTCAAAACTTATTTGAATGATTCCATGTACTAATGAACTGCACCAAATAATGGTAAGAAAATAGTATGAAAAAAATAGACCAGTTTCCTGTTGGGTTCAAACATAGGGGCCCGTTGTATACACTTGATTAGTTATAAAGATCATGATAAGTAAGCTAAGTATATCTGTAATAAAAATATATCTCTTGGTAAACAAAAGTTATTACAATGAGACCAGAATCATTTATTGAATTGAGCACCAACTAATAAGGCCAGAAGTTTTATGTCTTTATTCAGTAGTCCACCCTTATCTAGCAGTTTGAGTGGCGTTACTAGTAGTCTCATATGTATATAAGAAAATATCACATTTTTCCCCGGGACTGCACCAGAAGGTGGGTGATTTTTTTGAGACTATGTATGTTAATTGTTTGGCACACTCGCAGCTGAACGGGTTGATGGATTTTTTCACACAGTCGGGTATTTTGTTTTTCAATAATTAGCTTGTTACAAACGGAAATTGAGTAATACTTTTGAGCTAAGGTTAATATTATACTTTTTGTTAAATATTTTATTAAGAGCTAAAATAATTCCAAAAGTTTCAATTTTATGAATTTTTTTTAACCAAATGAAAAGTGATAACTGCCAAGCATATTATAAGAACTTCTACAACCGTAATGCATACTTCCTAAAGTGAATTAATGTTAGACAAAGGGTTAGACAGGAGACATACATGTTGTGGGCGTTGTGTAGATGACTGTTGCATCAAAGATGCACAATTATCTGTTGGGCCTGTTGTAACACAACCTGAGCATCCACAGGCAAATAAAATGTGTAGAAAAACCTACAAAAAAATTATATTTCATAGCTTATATAACTTTTGCTCAAATATTTTGTTATACATATATTAACAATCACTAATATTGTGATTACAGTTTATAGCTTGTTTATAGCTGTGTATTGGGCTAAGGGTGTAGACTTTGGTTTTTAAGACAATAGTTTGGAATTTCGGGAATTATATTTGCCTTTTCAAAAACACAACTGAAGGGTGTATAATATTTAAGTATTCACTTATGTGAGAAATTTATTAATTAGTTTTGTATTTCAAAACTTGATTGTTAACGGTCTACATTACTCGCTCTTCAATTACCAAAAAGGGGGGCAAATAAGCATTCACCCCAAACCAGTCCCCTTATATATAGATATTTGCAACACCTGGGGTGTCAATGCGCATATATAAATTGAAATCTAAAAAAAAATAACTAATATTTTAGCAGATTATCCTATTATAAAATCTTTTTAAAGATTATCTTATTAAAATTTGCATTTGGCTTCAATACCCACTTGATGTCTATGTAAAGCTTGCTGCTGCTGTTGTTGCTGCTGCTGCTGCTGTTGTTGTTGCTGCTGAAGTCACGTTGTGGTTGAGAGGGGGCATGTCGAATGATATACTGTTGCTGGGATTGTAATCCATCACTGACAACCAGCTGGGGCTGCACACCTTCAAATAAAATATAATAAACACTTGGTGTTGAATCTGCTTGCTGCACAACCACCTTTAAAATACAATTTTTTGAAGGCCCTTAACGATTGTGGTTTAATGCATCCTACAAATGTATTAAAGAATTAAAGTCACCTGCTGTTGAGCATATTGCTGTTGGTCATCTTGGTTTACATTTAAAACCATCCAAGCATATGTTTGGACAAAATCTTTGTATGTCTTCAAGAGTTAGTTGATGACCTTTGCCCAACTATCTGGTAATATTGAGCCATAGCTAATGCTTACCCAAAAAAACAGATATATAATTTATTACATATAATACTATAACATGTAAATCAATCAAATGTCTTTAATTTTAATTTAAATTATTCATCTGGAATGAAATCTATACTCATTTCACATCACATCATCACATCAACAGCCAAATAAACAGTCCACTGCTAGACATAGGCCTCTCCTTAGAAAGGAGGGTTTTGGCCTACTTTATCAATGCTGGCCAGACGGATTGGTACATATATATAATTTATACTCATTTAATAAACTTTAAGAGTGTTTTATTGGATTGTTTTTTTAATTGTGCTTATCTCTGGAATTATCTTAGATTTAAATAATTCTTTTTGTGTTGGGTAAAGTTACGTTTAAAAGAAGGTTATAGACAATAAAATATCACACTACATATCATACTATATTAGAGTTGAACAGTGACTATAAAGACAAAAGAAACTGAAGGGAATCAGAAATGATAACTATAAAATTATAATGAGTGTTAAGTTTTAAAATAATGCCATTGTTAGTCAAATACTATGATTTCAGAATAGGAAACATTGTTTGACAGGACTAAACTAACTTTTAATGATTTTTAGTTTAGAGAGTTTTCAAACAACAGAATTAAACCATGGTCGTAATTTATTTCTTGTAGTTGCAACTAATTCATATTTAAAGGTCAGTAGCAGAGGAGTAGGGCACTAGCTCTAACTTTCTTGGGATATTGAAACTTATCCAGTTTATGACTTCTATACACCATGATTTGTGGGAGTAGACCAAAATGCTGCAACTGACAGCTTTTAAGATTAATAATAAACATAATTTTATCTTAAAAAATTGCCACTGATTGCCAAAAATATAATTCTACAGTGATATGTTGTTGCTTATTTATTTAATATTTCCACACAAAGAAAATAGTTTATATAATTTATCAACATTATTTATATTCTTCTCAAAATTAATGAAATCGAATAATCAAAAATAATAATTTTATAATTTATTTTTATGTGATAGTATGTTTGTAGTGGATGGTGATAGACTGATGACTATGTATGTATATTTTTTAGAAATAAAGAAGGGATGTTTTCAGCAGTATGATTACCAAAGTACAGGCTCTGCCTATTTTAGAATTTAACAAACCATATGTGAGATGTCAAGTTATTATTATTTTATATATTTTTTTTTGTGAGAGGACAAGGGCCCAAAATTTGAATTTTAAGTGTAAGAATGTATCAGTAATAATATAATAAGAAAGAAAAACCATACAAAATATGTGGTCTTTACTTACAGCACTGAAATTATGTGGCCACATATTAACTAATTTTGTCTAACAATCTGTCTAAAATGGACTAACTAGTCCATTTCTCATTGCAATGATTAAAGGACTTCTCTGAACCACTGATGATTGTAATATTATGAAGAAAAGTCCATAGCTAACCAATAGCTTCAGACAATTATTAATAAAAATATTGTAATAATTTATTGTGTGAGTTTAATATAATGTATTAAAACACAGCAGGTCATTCATAAATTAGTATTGTTAAAGCTTAAAGAAAACACTTCAATGTATTTCCCACTGTCTTCTAGTAATTTACAAGAGTTTTCAAGAGTTAGAAAGTAATAGTTCATTTGATCATGTCAAGTCAGTACTGCTTCAATTTTTATAGATCCCCAAAACAAATAATCTAAACCAAAAAATAAAAAAGTGCACAGATTTGGTTACTTACAAATAGTTTAAATTACCAGTTAAATTCAAAATTTACCAGTTTCTCAAATCCTTACAACACATTTGGGGATTTGTTTACAACTAGTAACAAGCAATAAAGTAACTTTTGCACTTTTATTTAGCAGTTAATCACTGTAATTCACATTTATTTTCGTATCCTTTATTACTATTGGTTATAATTACGGCAATATAACAGCAAGAGACACTTCGTTGACAGATATTATGCCATCCACCCCGATCACTACATACGGAGCAATAACAGCAGCAATGACTGCTGAAATCGTACATTCGTACCAACACTACAACTATTTGGGGACGACCTGCCTTCACATTTAAGTAGAACTTTCAGTCTATTCCGTAAACATCACTACGAGTGATTAAAACGTTAGGAATAATATGAAAAATATCTTCAATACCGTTTACACGAACAGAACGAAAGGGCTTCGATTCCTTTTATCCAACCTAAATACTTGAATGGAGAGTGTTACACATAGATAATAGAGAAGTCACTGATTTTCATCTTACCAATATTTACAAAGGACATTTTAAATGTCTTATTATACATTACAAACGAATTTATAACATCAAAATGTTAATTTTTTTAAACTCAAACGCCAAATCGAGAAGCAATTTACATTATGGCGTGTGTGTCACTTTTTTAATAAGTTTTTTTTTTCGGCTAGTGTTACTATAATCGAAAAACAAAAAATTTTTAATCCATCTTTGCTGGCATTCTCACTACGTTCTTAAAATTTAAAAATGTGCACAGTAAACGTGCTGAGATAATGTAGGAATGTAATAATAGATAATAACAAAACAAAAAACTACAAGAAATCACGACATTTGGTGGATAATTAATATTACATAACAAAAACGATTTTCTAAAGTGAGATTTAAACCTCAAACTTTTTAGTAAGAAGATTTAATAGCGACCAAAGAGTATAAAAAATATTCGACGTGGATGTGTTGAAAACTTTATAATCTGTGTTGTACACATCTATAATTTAGACTGCAATAACGAGACGTTTTTACGTGTTTTAATTTATTATATTTCACTTTGATTCCATTCCATTTGGATCATATTTTATCATTTGATAGGGAAAATTAAACCGACTAACTTGAGTACAAATTGAAAAAGACGGGAGTGAATTCCAATTATTGACATTTTGGGTTTCTGTCCTCATCACTCGTGCAAATGGATGATACAGGGGATTTCGCCAGGGATACTGCAGAAAAATTATTGTTTATTGTTTCCTTTTTGTAGAATAAAATAATTAGCTTTATCGATTACAGGAAATAAAAAAGGGGATTCGGCATCTGAGAGTGACTCCAAACTCACTTGATGGCGGAGCTATGTTGCCCCCCAGTACAGTTTCTCGTGATCAGCTTCAGAAAAGAATTGAATCTCTACAGCAACAAAATAGGTAAGTTTTAATCAGAGGCATAATTGAGTAACTACTAATACAATTATTTTTCAAAAAAAAAAAAATCTCGAGTTACTTGTTTATATGAATTTGTTCACGAAATATATCTACTGACCACGATAATTAATCGTTAAGAAGGTACTTGTACTTTTTTTGGATGATATATATTATCGCTTTTAAATAGTTGAACTGGCAATGTGGTGTAATGTAAAAAAATTTAAATTTAACTGTTTTACTATAAATCAGTGCAATTCTTTTAAAAAATTTTTTTCAGAGTCCTTAAAGGGAGTTAGATACTTTAATCTTTAAAAGGGTTTTGAAAGAAGAGAATCGTGCCTTTGAGACAAGCATCCGTTTCAATTGTAAGTTCTTTTTTTTTAAAAAAAATATTTAAGTAAAGCTTTACTAAGTTTTACACATTAAATTTAAATTTTGTGTCTCAAAGCGTCTTTTTTGAATTTAATAGTACTATATGTTGGCAAAGGTAAAAAAACATATGACCTAGTTTTTGTTTCAACAGTTTAGTGGGGTTGTCAGGGCTTTATGGGGGGACAGTTTGGTTAGAAAGAGTGACCTCTCTTCTACTTAAATGATATTTTATTTCTAAAAGTTAGTTTTAGATGTACTATCATTTCTCATAAGTTCTAGTAACTATGCCAGAATAGTGATTGATTTTTTTACTCCTTTTTCATTAATATTTTAACTGACTGACTAATATTTTTGCTATTAGTTTTTTCTAAAGTATTTTAATGTAATTGTTAAATTAATTTTGATTTTACTTCCAGCAAGCAAAGGCCGAGCAGGAGGAAGAATATATTTCTAACACATTATTAAAAAAAATTCAAGCCCTAAAGAAAGAAAAAGAAACTTTGGCTCACCATTATGAACGGGAAAGGAATGCCTAACAAAATGACCTTTCCAGAAAATTAAATAAAGGTATTTACTATTTCCTCATCTTGTCACTGCAGAGAAGCTGTCGACAATTTTGGACATCATGACCTTTCTTGTAGCAGCACTTTCTGTATATCTCGACATGCCAATATTAACAACATTATCCATTGTGTCTTGTTACTGCTGGCGTACCAGTGAACGTGAATCCAATGGTCTGGCATGAGACAGTCCTGGAAAGGACTGGATGGTATGTTGTTCCTGCCATGGAAGATGGGTAAGCCCTTGGGTGGGATGCGGGTAACTTGCTTCTACACCCCATCACATCTTCCAAGCACAGCTGGTTTTGCCGGCCTACTGCTGCATCTGTCTTCAACTGCAACTGTCTTTGTTCAGGAATTCTTTTCCAGGGACAGTTAAACAGTTAGTTGAGGTCTATAAGAGTGGTCTGGTGCATAATTTTTTAAACTTATACTACATATTACTTTGAAACTATTGTTTGTGGACTTCTGCTTGGTATACAAAATTTTAGGTTCTCAAGTGTTTACTAGAAATTAACAGGATTAATGTATTGCAGTTACGTCAGGAGAAATGTCGTTTGGAGAAAAACCTTAGAACAGGAACAAGAGTGTCTGGTTAATAAATTGATGGGGAAAAAATAGAAAAGCTGGAAGCTGAGACACTGCAAAGCAAATGAATTTGGAGAGACTTCGTAGGGAAAAGGTACACATTTTAAGCACTTTGATTATAACATTTGTAGTAAAGTATTACATTTACTTAAAAAAAATCCTTATGCCGCCTACAAAACCAAGTTTCTAAAGCTGTTTCAAAACAAGAAAAATATTTTCTATCGAAATTTGTATTGAATAAAAAAATAGTGTTTCTTCTTTCGAAACTGGTAAATAAAAACTCTTTGATGGATAAGAAACAATTTACTATCCACTTCCACAAAAATGAAAGATATTAAAATGAATGGCATGGGGTATGTTAGTGTTATTCTTGGGCTGATCGCTAGTCTAAATTTTCGTTTCGATTTTATTTACAAATTTCTAAAGAAGAAACGTTATTCTTTTATTGAAACGAAACTGGTTTCGTAACTTGATTTTGTAGGCGTTTGAATCGAAAATGTTCGTGTTCTTAAAATTTAATTTCTTTTTTTCTGTATAGACTGAATACAATTTAAAAATTACAGGTGGAACTGGAAAATACGTTGGAACAAGAGCAAGAAGCATTAGTGAACAGACTTTGGAAACGAAATGGACAAGCTAGAAGCAGAAAAACGTTCTCTGCAATAAGACTCGACCAACCAGTTTCTGATCCAGCTAGTCCTAGGTGAAAATCTAATAACTTATCATAGAAATATATTCTTGTTTATTCAAATTTGTTTATTTTTGTTCTTTGTTGTTCTTTGTTTTTTAATTTTTTCCTCTGTTAAAAGTCTGATTTGCAGAGGTAATAAGAAATGATTTTTAACCTAAATATAAAAAGAAGCTTTTTACATATTTCTGCATGAATTTCAAAGTCTAATGGCATGTTACACTTAGAACACATTATTATATATTATAGACATTTTTTTATTATTAATGGAGATTTTTCTTGCTAGGGACATTAGTAATGGTGATACAGCACCAATTTAAGCAATCATATTCAACCCTACGTTCTGAGGTTTGTAAAATTAAGGTGAGTAATTTATTACTTTTAAAGTTGTAGCATTATCTATTTTGTTTTTAACCCAAAAATGAATTATGGGTTGTCCTGCAGCATAATGAGAAATGCTACCAAAGCGCATAATAAATGTAAGTATGCTTTAATTCCTCGCTAAATCTCACGAAGGTAAATTTACCCAAAAATGTGACTTTTTCCTTTTTTATGAATTT